ACTATGGGATCCATAGTTACTCCAGTTTCATCCGGCAGTAAATCCCAGAATCTGCATTTATTTCCAGGAAAAAGCTCGCTCTCTCCTAACGGCAGGGCACAGTCAGCTTCTCAAAATCACGAGTCTCCCGGCCCCTCTCAGCTATCATTCAGCAACTTTCAGGCTCTGGGAGGGCAGAACATAAGTCATCCCGCCCTCATGGAGAAGAGCTGGAGGTCTTTCTGGTAGCAATACCCCTGGGCCATCATGGGGCCACGAGTCTCTCTTTGAGAGAACTTAGTCTCTCCGAGCGTGCAGTGCTGAGCTGAAAGCAGTCTTCCTTGCTAGGCAGAAATATTTTGTAGCATGTAATTCATTGCAGTTCTTACCATTCCCAGATACGTGTTGAAATAAATTGATCTATAAATGGATTACTGTGGCAATATCCATTGAAGGAAATGGGGTATGGTATCTTGGCTTGGTGTAAATGGAAGTGGGCATTTTTGTCATTCGTAACTATTGGGCATACTTCTTAGCGTACATTTTAGCATTCGAAGGAAATACGAGTTTAGAGAAGAGGCAAACTCCTGAAAATGTTTCTCTTGTTAGCACATTTCTCAGTTTGCCTACACTGCTTGAGGCAGCTGTCCTAGGAAGGCACGGGAAGGCTGCAATATGCTTTTGTTTAGGTTTAACAGCAAGAAGATATAATACCTATTGCAGTATTGCCCATATTTTTCACCTAGGTTGCTTCATCAGGTCACTGTATAAATATTTCATGCTATGGAAGAGAGGATTCATCCTTGTGAGACTCATAAGACCTTGCAAAATGAGAACACAGGAGGTGGAAGAACAGTTATCCATAGCAACCCTTGGAAACAAAGATAGAGGTGAAGACAAATACAGGCTAATTATAAATATCCATTTCTGATCTATATACAGCCTAGTAACATGTACAGTGAAATTTATTACAGGAAATAATTTATGCTTGCACAGTGGAAAAATGATATATATTTTACAGCCTTTGCATCTAATTACCAGGCAAGTTTCTAAACAAAGCTCAAACCTGACCAATTTTTATACTCAAAATCTCTCTCTGGTGTGGTTGAACCAAGACAAAAACAGGTACCAGCGATCTCAAGAAAACAGTTTATTTCTCTCTAGCCATGTCATTTTAATCTCCTAATTGTAAAACTTACATATGCCTTTCTAAAGTACATCTTTGGATAGGTAATTCTAAATACACTTAATCTGCCTTATTCAGTCAGTTACTATTACACTTGCCGTATAATAGTTGTGGTGTTCTTAAGGATTAGGCATAGACTAAAATAATAACCACAGCGCTGATAAATTTGCAAATATCTTGAAAAACAGAGCCTGACTTCCCTAATGTCTTATAAGATCAGTTGATGCAAAAAAATCTGCATTATCTAGTTTACAAACATTTTGGACCAAAATATAAAGGTACCTCAAAGATAACAGCTGTTATCATTACTTGAATGGAAATCAGATGAGCTTCCTTAAACCATTACATATATACAGTAGATAAACTCCTGAGGTCCAACTGCTCTTCTGAGACTGAGTTTCGTTGTGATAACATCATTCCTCCTGCCGAAGTTGTGTCATCGTGTTTGTAGCATTGCAAAACAACATGCTTTGTGTTACTTTGGCTTGTACATTGCAATACTGCAGTATTACTGATGTCACAGCGGTCCGATGTCTCATGAACACGCAAATTGCATAGGAGGAGCCTCACATTTATGTGGCATTTCCTCCAACAAACGCTGCTCCTCTCCACCAGTCTTATCCAACTCCAATCTAAGCACTCATAGTACTTCTAGTTCCACGCTTGTTGGCCACTTGTTGCTTAATTCAAGCAATATGTGAGAGCTGGTATAAAAAGTGTACAGGTTGCTTTATAGAAGTAGCTAACTCTACTCTGGTAGAGCATGAGTGTTCAGGATCAGGCAATAGGTATGAGCACTACTGAATAGACTTACGTAGGGCTTCTACCCAGAGGAAGGGATGAGAGGTTGAGGTAGGTCTCTTGGAAGCGAGTGAGCAAAGTCGGTACAGGTTCCACCTTTTTTTTGTGGGGGTGATGGACCTTTTCTGGTTAGGATGGGGTTTTCCCTGATCTGAAGGGGAAGAAAAATGTTTATGCCTGATCTAAAGGAGTGTATTGTTTCCTCTGTAATGGCTTGGATTCCTTTGTCATGTTTGTTTTATGTACGTAAAATAAAAATGATTTTTTTTAATTAAAGCAGTTGTTGGAGTGTTTTAGCTAGGCTAGAGGAAAGTCGCATCAGTCTGTATCTGACGCAGAATGAGAACACAGTAGCTGTGCCCAGAAGATAATCCAAAGCTCCTTATAAAATAGCTGGGAGAGCAGGGTGGAAGTTTACCAACAGCTGTGTCAGACTCTGAGGCAACAGCAGTAATTCTGCTTGGCAGAAGCACTATAGAGATCCACTCTGACAGCAATTGAAGCAGTAGGGACTGAGACTGCAAAGAAAACAGCGAGAAGACAGTGGCAATCCTTGCTATTTTTTCCAGCTCTTGAGAACTAAAGACCATAGTAAGGGAACCTTTAGAACAAGTCTTCCAATGAAGGTATGGTCATCGCAATCATCTTAAAAAAAAACAGGCTCTATCACAGTCTTGCATGCAAAGAATTCTCCCGTCTTTCCCATACCTTGGGTGTTAATTAGCCACATTAATCATCTGCTTGAGCTAAAGGGAGTTCTGGAGCATGTTTCAGACTTACAGGTGTTGTCAGTATGTTATTGTAAGCTTTGACATGGTGGTCTACATCACTTCATAAGCTGCATACCAAACTAGCGTGTACTAATCACTGAATCACCTTTGGTGGTAGTCCCTTCCCATTAAGCTGGTCAGCTGCTGAATTCAGTGAGTGGAGATCAAGTTTTAGGGTATACCTTGGAGACTTGAACAATTCAAATTCTCTCGAGTGAAGAACATCGGAGGCACTCCTCCTACTAATCAAGTAAACTCTCTCATTAGATTTGCTGAGTAGTTCCAACTATATATATATATATGGATTTTCTACTACATTGTTCCTCAGAAAATCATCGTTTTGAGCAGACACCTCAGGGAATACAGCAGTCAGCTGCCTGCTCAGAGATCAATCTTTGTAAGGCTGAGTGCATCCCGTGCAACTCAGTGCAAACCTAAGCTTCATTGTAAAG